TGTTTTTAAGTTTTCATTGTGAATCGAGTGAATGTTTACAGAAAAGAGACCATCAGTTTTACATTAGACAAGTAAAACAATTTGTTTTGTCTCAATAACTGCGATCTCCTCCATGCAACAACAGTTATACCACATCCTCCCTGTGATTCCTATTTCTATTCCACCTACCGTCCCGTCCCTTCTCAACTTTGTCCTTAGGTAAATGATGCCATTTTGAGTTTGAATGACTGACCATTCCATGGTGAGCAAGAAAGGAAGTATTAGTTTTAACTATCTGAATGACGCCTCACAACTGGTGACAGAAACTGCTCAGTGGTAACCCCTTAAAGTGGCATCCAGGGCACATGCCTTGCTGAATGTCAGAAGACCTGGGTCCTAGCGGTCTGCAGTCACTATTCGTCTGCCAGTTTGTTGTACTAGGGTGGCTTGCTGTTATTTTGGAGGCTATGCCACCAATATTTTAAATACCAGCAGGCTCACCGATGGAAGACATGTTTCAGCGATCTTCAAGATTAGACTAGAATAGACTAGGAAGAAGGAGAGGCAGAGTACTGATGAATGTTTGTTGTTGTTGTTAGATGCCATCAGGTCGGTACTGACAACAGAATGAAATAATGACCAGTCCTGTACCACACTTATAATCACTGCTATGCTTGAGCCCAATGTTTAACCACTTAAAACTTGATGAATAGCAATGGAACACTGTCAGATATACTGCCAGAAGATGAGTCCATCAGATTAGAAGTCACTTAAAATACGACTGTGGAAGAGCTGCCTCCTCAAAATAGAGTTGACCATAATGACACAAATGAAGTAAAGCTTTCAGGATCTTCACTTGCTGATGGGACACAACTCAAAATGAGGAGAAACAGCTGCAAGCATCCATAAACAATCAGATTGTGAAAGGTCCATAGTATAAAACTAAGAAGGTAAAGTTGTCAAAAATGAAATGGAATGCATAAAGAGAGATATCCTATGCATTAGTGAGTGGAATGGACTGTATAGATCACTTAGAATTAGACAATTATATGGTTTACTATGCCAGAAATGACCAATTGAAGAGTACTGACATCACATTCATCATCAAAAAGAATACTTCAAGATCTATCTTGAATTATAATGCTGTCTGTGATAGAATAGCATCCATATGTCTATAAGGAAGACCAATTAATACAATTATTATTCAAATTTATTAACCAACCACTAAAGCCAGTGATGAGGAAGTTGAAGAATTCTATCAATTTCTTCAGTTTGAAACTGATCAAACATGCAATCCATGTATCTATAATTACTGGTGAGGGTTGGAAACAAAGACTAAGGGTCACTAGTAGGAATACATGGCCTTGATGAAATAATGATAAAGAATAATATTAAGAATACCATGGACTGCCAGAAGAACAAAGCTGTCTTAGAATGCTGAGAAGCCAGGACTGTGAGACTTCACCTCTCATACTTTTGACATATGGTTGGAAGGGACCAGTGCCAGAGAAGGACATCATGCTTGGTAAAATGGAAGGTCATTGAAACAGAGGAAGACCCCCAGTGAGATGGACTGACACAATGGCAGCAGCAATGGGCTCAAAGGTACCAATCATGGTGGCACACAACTGGGCAGTGTTTTGTTCTGTTGTGCATAGGAACACTATAACTCAGAGCTGGCTCGTTGGCACCTAACAGCAACAACAGTTACCTGCAGAGGAAAGTTTCCCAAACACAGGCTTGGCGTGGGGAACCTGCTCTTAGATACGGCAGCTCCCACCTCAGCATCCTGCAGTGCTCACAGCTGTAACTCCCAGGAGCCATTGATTCCTCATTTCTACTCATGGATATATAGGGTATACTTTTACTGTTTTGATATTTTAACTCATGTATAAATGAATGCAACATTCTTTGAATACTTGTATAAGGATTTTCATACGGCACATTTCTAGAAATGAAATTGACTTCTTAAATTATTGATCAAAAAATAAATAAATAAATAACCAAGCCTAGTGCTGTCCGTCCATTCCGATTCATAGAGACTCTGTATGACAGAATAGAACTGTTCCATAGGGTTTCCAAGGCTGAAAATCTTTATGGTAGCGAACTATCACATGATTCATTGCTGGATCAGTTGGTGGGTTTCAATCACTTTGTTTACCAGTCAAGCACTTAACCACTGTGCCACCAGAGCTCTAAAGTAGTTGATGTCACTAAAACTCTAAAAAGGCTGTGCCAGCTGATACTCACACCAAAGGAGGTCTGGTGACACAATGGTTTTTACTCCCACAATGGATACTGAAACCCAGCTCACTGCTAAGTCAAGGCACAATAGGTGCTACAGAGTGGATCTGCTCCATAGTTTTCTCATCTGTAATCTTCTAAGGATTTTTAAGTACAGCACTTAACAACAAAAGTTATGGTTAGGAAGTCTGCATAACTGTGCACTACTCTAATCCTGGACATATTAAAAACACATGTAAACATGTATGTAGGAATAACCTCTACCAAGCCTATCTATGTGGAATCCTGTATGGCGCTGTGGGTTAATGCGCCAGATTGCAAAGCCATTTGAACTGCAAGATCAGCAGTTCAAGCTTATCAGCTGCTCCTCAGAAACCCTATACAGGGTCGCTATAGGTCGGAATCGACTCAACAGCACTTAACAATAACAACAACAACAACAATCCTATCTCTATATATTGTTATGGGTATATGCCATCCCATACTTGTTCCTCTTACAACTATACCTATGTATCCACTTGGAAATGCCTTGTTATTACTGTTACTGCAGGATTGTGTATGCAATGTTTGTCACCATTGCCTTACATTCTTGTGTACCTCTGAGTCTTTCTTTGCCATGGCCATATTGTGCTTTTCTGCCCCTTATTGTGTAATGCCTTTCTCTTCACCTAATACAGGTCTACCATATAGTTAGTGGTTTACTCTCCTTCCCCATCCCTTGTAACCATCAAAAACAATTTTTTTTTCTATGGGTGAATCTTTTTTGTAACTTTTTATAATACTCTCATACACTGCCTGTCCTTTTGTAATTGATTTACTTCACTTAACATAATGTTCTCTAGGTTGAAATATGTTGTGAGATGTTTCACAGATTCATCCTTATTCTTTAACACTGCATAGTACTCCATTATGTGCATATACCATAGTTAACCCATGAATGCGTTGAAGGACACTTAGGTTGTTACCATCTTTTAACTACTATGGATAATGTTGCAATGAATATGGCTATGAATGTATCTATATGTGTAACAGCTTTTAATCCTCTAAGATATATGCCTAGTAGTGGGATTCATGGATCATATGGTATCTTGGTTTCTAACTCATTAGGGAAACACCATACTGTTTTCTATAGTGACTGTACCACTTAACAGTCCCACCAACAGTGAATGAGACTTCCAGACTCCCTACACGCGCACCAGCATTTGTTATTTTCTGTTTGTTTTGTTTTATTATTACCACTGTCTGCATGGGTGAGATGATCTCATTGTTGTTTTGATTTGCATCACTTAAATGGCTAATAATTACAAGAATCTTTTCATGAATTTGTTTCAATATATCTTTTTGTGGGTACACAATTAAATCCATAAAAACTTCCTTGAGCTACTTCAATAGCTTCCACAAAACAGATTCTTATGATATCCTTCCCTGATAATAAGGATTTACAAAATGCTTCTTTGTTTAATATTATGTGTATTAACACATTCAAAACTTATGAGTTGGTAAGTGAAATACTATTTTCCAGAGAGAAAAACTGGAGCTAAATTAAATTAGCAAAAGTATGGGAAAGAGTCAGGAGTTGAACTTGTCTTCTGACTCCACATTCAACGTTCTTCCAGTCATCCAAGATGCTTCACTAGGGATGGCTGGCTCCAATTTCAGTACTGTCACCTTACTAATTCTGTTCCACAGACAAATGATAATACTGTGGTTTCAGACAGACTGAAAAAGTGCAAGGGACACATTAAAATTTACCAAAAATTAGAGATATCAAAATGTGCACATAAATCTTTTTTTTTTTTTTTAGTCAATAATATGCAGTTCAGACTAACACACTTCAAACCACTGCTTGTTGATCAAATGTCCAACAACTATTCTTATGGAAATCTATTCAGTCAAAAGTTTTTTTAAAACTCTGAGAAAAAGGACAGTGGGGCTCATCTGGGAATGGGCACTGAAAGAGAGCACTTTATCATTTACATTCATTAAAGAAACAAAAAATGTACAGTATGAAAGATTTTCCTTGAAAGCCATGTTTGCTAAGCAAGTTGGATATTTGACTTCTCTTGTAAAAATGGAAAGAATACTATCATTACCACCACTTCTGAAAGGATTGAAAAATATAGTATGAAAAAGCCAGCAAATAGTAAATACAGCTTTCTAACATATTGTTCAGGTTCAAAAACAGCAAGCAAATTAGGACACATGGTGGACTGCTAAGCCTGGCTTATTCTAATATTTAAGTTTTCCAGTATAAATAGAACATCTTCCCTGATGGCACAGTGGTTAAATGGTTGGCTGTGAACCAAAATGTTGATGGTTTGAACCCACCAATCGTTACGCAGAAGAAACGTGTGGGAATCAACTTCTGTAAAGATCTGCAACCTTGGCAATCCCATAGAACAGTTCCACTCTGTGCTATAAGGTCTCAGGAGTCGTAATCAACTCAGTGGCAGTGGGTCTGGTTTTAGTCTAAATGGCAACACTGATTTCAATTCCTAATTTCACAACCATTTTGTGGATCCCTGACAAAGCCTGTCTTCAGATGGTCCCAACAGCTCAAAACAGGTGCCAGTCTTCCCAGAAAGACGAATCTTTCCAAAAAGGAATCCCAGCACCTTTAAGCATATTCTGAGGTTTACCTAGGATGACACAAAGAATAACCTTATTCTGAAGTTCATCATCAAAAGCACATGCAAAAGACTTACCTGCTACTCTAAGCAACTCAGCAAGGCCCAGGAGTTTGGCTGACTGCTTGTAGCATGTGGGGGACTGGGAAAAACACTCTTTGATGAGGCCAATCCGATCGGAGAACAATCGTACTACAAAAGAGAAACATAAAAACTTGTAACTTTTAACCTGTGACATCATACAGAGGTACTAGGACCTTCGTAATTTAAGGTAACGAAACAAAAACGTGCATTAGTCTCCAGATCAATGAGAATTAAGTAAAAGTAAAAATGAGAGTTTTAAAATTAAAATTATGACTGCTTCTGAATATATGTACATAAATGTTTTCAATTATATCAAATTTCCAAAGCTCAGCAAATGAACTGCAATTCTAAAAAAATGTGCCATCTTTTCAAGCACCATGTCAGGCATTAGAGAAACTTTTTAAGAACGCATTATTTGGCCCCCCTGGCAAGAGCACCAATGAGCCAGGCACAGCAGAGAAGACTTTAAGAACTGTTTAACCCTTATGAAACTGCTTAAACCCCAGAGACATTCTGCTGCTTTGCTTGTCGGGCGCGGGGAATGGGGAGTTAATAGATGTTACTGATTTTGCAATCGTCCATCAACCATCATAGGTTTTATTCCCTGTTAAAGTTTTCAGAAGCTAGGCAAATCATTGCGGTGCCTGGCCCTTAAA